CCTGACTGCCTCCTGCCTTCCCACACAACATGCCACCTCTTCGACTGCCCAGTCAACCCTACGGACCTAACGCCTGAGGACCTATGGCTTCGCCCAGACAAATTCACCGAATTCCTACATGTTTCCTAAAAATTTTATACCTTCCTCTTTATTCTTTATTCCTTCCATCTTTCTTAAAATTTTATACCATGCATTGCTGGCAAACTAGGTTAAGGGAGTAAGCTAGTACAACAACAACAACAACAAGGTGCCCTCAAACTGTTCAAAATTGCTTGGACAGCGTCTGTTGGCTACGGCAGAAGCGGCCAAACAGGAACAACAACAACAAACAGGAAGGCCGTCTCCACACACACCCACGAACACCAACTAGCAGTGAAGAGACGTGACAATTTATCCGAAGTGGCTATGCATAGCCTTGATACACAACACACCTTCGCATGAAACAAAACCTGCATCGTCTGAGTTTTTCTCTCCTAAAAGGGCCCAGAATTTCTTGAGGCCAAGCACTCCGAGGATTAATACATCAACTGAGTTATCGAGTTAGACGGAATGTACACGTATCTCAAAGAAGGATGGAAGAGAGCCGATCGGTACAGGCTGACGCAAATAGCAACCACCAATTGTTGCTCACACAAAATTACTATTGATTTTTTTAGCACGTTTAAAATTTTGGTTGCTCGTTACACATCTCAAGTTTGACGACGACCTGAGGATCCAGTCTCGAAAATTTACTGAACAAACTTCCCTTTTTCCCAAAGAACGTCGTTCCTTCAAAAGACTATTCAATGTATACTAAGAGAACTGATCTTCATTTTAGAGGCTCGATTACTGGGGCAAGTATGGTATCCGAAGAACGTTTCCGAATACATTCTAAAACTCACTTTCAGACACCTGGACAGGGTAACCGAAGTTCCATGGATACCTTATTAGTCATAGCAACTGAATGCCCAAGAAACTTACGCGGTCGATATATCCTAAACGTGCCGAGTATCGAACCCAATGGAAGCCGCCAGTTACTTACTCATACCAGCTATCAGAACGCAGATAGTGAAGCCCGTATTAGCAAGAAGGTTCGCCTGTACCGTGCATCCATTCGTTCTGTCCTTCTCTACGGCTGTGAATGCTGGACTATGCTCATGGAAGATAAAAGGAAATTTGAGGTTTTTGACCACTACTACTAGAGGACCATCCATCAAGTGAAGAACACCGACGTCGTCTCAAATGAAACAGTCCGCACTCACTGCGATAAAATCGCAAGGATATCCCAGGCCATCCAAGAAGGATGACTGAGGTGGTTTGGATACCTTCGTCGTCAACCTCACCAGCTCAGTGTTACTGCTCCCCACCCGAAACCGTTACCCAATTCGAGACGCAGAAGAGGGAGTCGGCTCAAAACTTAGCTCGACTCAGTCCGCCAGGACATGGAGGTGGTTATTGGGGCTTCGGTATTCGGCCTCCGGCATTGGCGAAGACAATGGATTACAGTTTTCAGGTCTTCTGCCATCGATCATCACGCATGGATAAGTACCATCCGGAACATCATCGAAGCCGGCTAGACCAGTTATGATCGCAGCCATAACAAGTACAATTACGTCAAGTACCAAAAAATTGTTCACTCGATATGATCAGGGCACATGCTCAAGTCCCGAGAGGCTGCAAGGACAACGACCTACCCTCCGTATACGAAGCATTGAGACTATGCCTGACAAGTTAAATTGCTGGCGTAGGATGCGGTCGAATAAGCCCAGTGGCAAACCAACACAGACTTCGACATGCACTTGCACTGGTAGCACAGATGCGCACAACACAGATTCTGCACTTTTAAACCTGTGTATGTGCACAGCCCTTTGAAGCATGTGATGGCAATGTATTAAGCTCCCAATTTAAGGAAATATTGCTGACAGGGCTGTGGCAGAACAGTGCAGCTGATTGGTCTTTCAGCGGACGGCTGCAGGACAGATGTTTGATGCTGTGGGTAGAAGAAGCGAGCTGAATATGCAGCGGTGTCCTATCTGAACAGAGAGGCGTACACACGGCCTCAGGCGAGCCGCATCTGCCTTCCTACCTCTGAGATACGCATCTCCCCTTAGTAGGCTGTTCGAAAAAAAAACCGGCCAATATGAAACATTTCTTCTTTATTAATAAAGGGGTTTGGCAGATTTGAAGAAATTATTTGGTCTAGTTCGGAGAAACTCGGCGGCCTCGGTGGGATTTGATCCCATGCCAGCAAAAAGGAAGACTTAAGTACAGCCAACGCTCGGGCAAAGGCTGCAGTCCTCGTAACTTAGTTGGTTAGGGTGTTTGCTAGCATGGATTTGAATCCCACTGCGGCTGCCAGGTTTTTCACAATTGGGTCCAATGAATTATCCAAATTTGCCAAAACTCTATTAATAAAGTCTGCCTGGTAGCCATCTGGCGGATTCTCGATTGAGTGCTTAGAAAAACCTGCTTGGACAGTCAGCTTACTGCGTCGAAATCGGTGGATTCCATACACTTTGCAGTAAGCTGGACTGGGAAAATTCATCCATATATGATTAAACTCAAGGTAACAACAAAAGACTAGTACTTATGCTGCCAGTAGAGTAAATTATACTACTGTCTGCCCGTTTGTAGCATATGCATATTACGCGGGTACTCCGCAATATGGCTGATGGAGTTCGGTCCAAATAAATACATTAAATTTCGGTCTATGCCTACAGATCTCGAATAGACTGATCTATGCCGAGCACAAAAATCAATTT